AATATACTCCAAAACTTAAAATTGTTAGAACAGCATTATATAAAATGTTTAAATAACCAGATAATTTACAAAATATATACATATGAATTTCAGACATATATGTAGAAATGAAAGCAAGAATGTCCTAGCTGGGCAGGATAAAATATGCTTTTCTATACATAAAATGAAAAGTAGAAATTCTAAAAAGGAAATGCATACACAAGCAATGTTTAAAAATCAACTGCCGCCTACTATGCAGACCTCTTTCCCATCTGTTATCTCACCAAGGTGTTTCCCAGGCTCAACTCCATGTCATCTCCAACTTCATGGGAATCACCAGTTGAGCCTGAGAAATAACTTTGTTCAAGGTTAAATCTCCCCCTGTCTAGTTTCATTAGTATTGCTTACAATTGTAAAGGCAAGACAGATAATATCCAAAGTTGAGGATCTTACGAAGAGGATAATTAAATAACAGTATCTCCCATAAACATAAAGATTCTAAACATGGTTTTCTCTCAAATAATCCATCCTAGTCAAGTTGAATATACAGTATGTCCATAAAGTTTGTGTAGAAATCACTTCTTCTACATAACGCCATGCAATGATGAAACCTGTTGATCAGTATAATACACGATTCCATCTAGTCCTCTGGTCTATTCTAAATTTTGACAATTTTTCCAGTAATGTCTTTTCTAACAAAATGATGCCATTCATCAATTATGATATCAATTTTAATAAAATCAATCAATCTATACATACATATGCATATGTGTAAATATTGCATTGGTCAGCTTTTGCATAATAATTTGTAACCAACCACTTAAAACTCAGTGGCTTAGGGTGGTGTCTGTGGCTCAAGGAGTAGGGCACCGGCTCCAAATACCAGAGGTGGTGGTTTCAAACCCAGCCCTATCCAAAAATCCGGAAAAAAAAAAAAAACCTCAATGGCTTGTAACAATAAGCACTGTCCAATGTTCAGGGATGCTCATGGTAACAATTACCTAACCTGATTAAGGCAGGGCTCAGCTGGGAGTTCTACTGCAGGTCTTTAAGCTTGTCTTTAGCCTATGGATTCCAATCAATCAAGGGCCAAGGCAGAAAAGTAGTAGCTATATAAAATATAACATTTTCATGAAATGATGAGGGAATGAGCAAAACCCACAAATCAAGCTGTACAGGCATACTATGAATTTAAGTCAAATAACTTCTAAAAGAGATGCAAATAAATGGAATTTATTCTTTCACTGTGGAAATTCCTGACGTTTCTAAAAGCATTGAATTGAGTTATCAAGGCATATAACTAGTTACTGGGCAAATAATTAAATATTTCAATCTTTGCAATCTATAAAACATTTTCAAATATAATTTTTAATGATTATTTAA